TCGATACCATGCGTCTAGTAATACAGGTCCCAATTTTTCTTGAATAGTGCCAAAATGAGTTTGGATATCTTACCTGCTTACAGAAATGAACTGAGCCGGATTTCCTGGATTTCGGATTAGTTCGTATATGAAGAATAATAACCATGGGATTGGCAACCTGAATGAGACTAATGAAATTTATAGTTCAAAGAGTATATCCCGAAAAAGCATGTTTCTCAAGTTTTCATTTTGCTTCTTCTTCACGATTTTTTGTTGCAAGTTCATTCAACAGTGTTTTATTGTTCCTAACAAAATATTTCGGGTTTACGGTATCAAGATTCTTAACTGTAAATTTGCTTCAGGTTATTGATATACAGACAAATTTTGAGGAAGCTAAGCTTTGAAGCTGTTTGTAATTATTTCGAAATAATAAGTTTAAAAAATATCTTGAAGGATACTTCTATTCAGTAGTCACATAAAAAGATGAAAATTTGTGCTTTTCACAATAAAAAAGGATAACATTCAGAATCAAATCTGGAGAGAATCTCTTTCAGACACCCTGGACATTTTCAGAGGTTTTGATAGGGAACATAGAATTTTATGGAGAAAAAAGAACAAGTCAAATCAATGAACTTACCCCACACAAACATCGAATATGTTACTTCCGACTGAGCTCGACACAGCCATGTCTCCTAAGCCTTTGCGTGCCACAATTACACTGAAATTACAGAATATAAGCTGTTCGAGTATACAAAGAATAAGTACCTGGTAATGAGATCTGGAATACTCGTACCGGCCGCAAGTATCGTTAATCCGATCACCTAAAATGCCAAGAATTTGTACAGCTGAGCTCAGAGTTCGAACATGTGAAACTTCTTTCCTTGATAATCATCGAGACAAATGGAAAAGCTAACCTCGGTTGGTATGCCTAACGTTTCTCCGATGGTATTTGCCCACCATACCATCAAATAGGAGAAGAAAGCAATCCATAGGATCGAATTCACAAACGTTACCGGATACCAGGTTCGACTTTCCTGGAACCACCAAGCATAATGAAATCACAAGTAAGTATTCAGCATAAAATGGCATGTAAAATTGTCAAGAAAACGTTCAGGGCAGTTCAACACACCCGTCCACAAATTCACTGCTATAGGTAAAAGTTTACCTACCGGTCGACGCACATCGGGTATGGTAACCCACATAGGAATAAGTACAGGTGCCAAACAAACGTAAGTGACTCGTTTCATGAATTTGTCAGGCCAT